AGTATGAAAATGTTCCAAAGATAGTGAGAAGACGGTTATCCTCAATGAAATCTGTTGTACTATTATTAAAAACAATAGCATATCAAAACCCAAAATTATTTCAAACCATCGGAAGGCAGCTACGTAGATCAGCGAATTCTCCAGTACAAAACAAGTACTGTACAACAAGATTATTTGAACACAAATCAACCGTATGAAGTACTTGAGAAATAAGCCGAATATTCTTGAGTTCGAATCAAAACATTGTTAGCATGAAATCCACATTATATAATTCTTGAAGTGGCCTTCGCGATACGCCAAGTATGTGATCCGTAAAGTAGCAATGACTTCACATTCGTGTTAGAAATCCGGATCTTATTTTACATGCGGAGTGAGAGGAGAACCCATTGACTGGACATCTGTCCGCCTGTATATATTTCTGAGAGGCTATATTTGAACACGCCGTAGCTGAGAAAGTAATGATCATTTTTATTTGGTTAAAGTTTGAATGCAAAAAACTGATCTACACTTTCTACTATGCAGCTCACATAACTTCTCTGAAACGCTCATTGTCATGAAACACTATGAAAGCAGAGAAAACGCGATTGTTCTTCAGCATCACTGCGGTCCTACTAAACACTATTAGCATCAAAACCCAAGTTTACCTCAGCACTTCTGTGAGACAGCTATGCCACAATGTAAGTTTCTAAATACAAATTCAGTTCTGTAAGACCAAATTTGTTGACTAAATGTAAACTGTAAAGAGCATCTTAGAATCCAGAAGAATATTCCCAACAGGTCGCAAGCCAAAGCTCCTTTCACGAGAATCATATACCAAGTCTACCTGTGGATAATCCTGGGTCAGAATCCCTTTAATTCACTCAAACATATTCATATTATTAAACAGTACACTGTCAGTGTACTTATTACCACACAGATTAGTATTGCAATTAAAAATTAAACAAAGAAACAGGCAAACACTAAAGGTTAAAATCAGTATGCGATATGCAAGTGTCAAATTAATGACAAACGATCTAGGGGAAATACCTATAATTATTACAAGGCTGGTTAAAAAGCCTAAATAAGTACAACACTATAAATAGGTCGTTGTCAAATGTTTTTGGATAAATAAAAAATTACTCACTGCAATGACAAAAACCAATACACTGGAGAAACAAAAAGGGCTTCTAAATTCTCTTGATTCATAATGTCTGGAAGAGTCAAATGCATTAAGAATGTTCTGCTTAAGAGACTTCATTATATTACTATGTTAGTGACACTCTACAGTTTCTATCTGAGGAAATCCAAGATTGAAATATCGGCCTATCATGTCTTCGCATGTTGACAAGCTCACCAACGTCTTTTGCTATTCGAATTCTTCTTTTCAACCGCATAAAACTAAGGGCCTGTGTTTCCATGTTACATAATTAGAAAATGTGAATCGTATTATATGTAAGTTAAAATTGGTTTTGGTTGAATGAATTTGATGTGTACTGACGAGATAAAGTGATACCATATATTTGTTCTCAGTTTGTTGCTCTTATTCATTACATTTCATCAAAAGTTGTATTGTGTGATATTTATAATAAGTACAGGTCTTGTTTCGGCAAATGTGCAAACAATACTAAGTGCGTTCCTAACTTGTATAATTGGTCCTGAAAGGAATCAAGGACCAAGAAACAAACAGAAGCAATGCTCTCACAGTATCTCATTAAATTTCACAGTCTGTTTCAACGAACTGATGAATTTCACATTCAGTTTGCATAACACCCTGCTTATAATGGTTTCAATAAGGAAGGTTTGTCAGCTTGTTTCTGCGCGGTACGTTCACACTAACATTACAGTGAAAGTTTAACCATTAAGGAGACTTTCCTCGTTTCCATCTTTATCAAATCTTATTATTATAAATGCTTTAGGCCTTAAGTGCATTCTTTCCGGCTCCGACGAAAACTTCATAGCATCCAATAAACTTACTGGTAAAAATTGATTTCCAAGTGAAGCATATGCAAATCGTATCTAAATAATCAGTCCAACAGTTGACGACTGCAAAAATGCCTTCTTCTCAAAGGAGATGTGTATTTCAACATTTGTTCAATAGTTTCTTATTTTGTATCAGTCAATAGACGAATAGAGTAAATGTTGGGTATTCCTATAAAATTAAAAATACACTTAATTCTGACCCAGCAATTAGAATTTCGGGACATGAAATCTCACCTTTTTCTCAACATATCTCCCTGAAGTGCTACAAACCATTTAGATCGCATAGTATGATTAAAATTGGCGCGAAAATACAAGGAGAAAGTTAACACATCGTTGTTCAAAATATGAACACTAATTTGTAGTTGTCTGATACCAGCGCCCATTAGGAAACGAAGTGGTTAAGTTGTCACTTAGAGTTTGGGTAATCACGACTGCATAACGCATGCAGATAAGGCGCCCACCGATTGCTTTCATAAATACTCGTTACATCTCAGAAGTAGGTATAACCTCATAAAGCCTACTAAACCCTATTTTTTCTCAGTCTTGTCTATCAACCGGCTACGCAAGTGCTTACGGGTCACCAAACATAGTTGGAGGTGAAACGGAAGGATAAATATCTACGTTAGACTGAATTCATATGCACTTTATGGGTACATCGAAATCAGTCTTGCAGCAAGAAATGTCGTTTTCATTTAGTATTCCGTTATCTTTGTGTACCAGACAGATAGACATTACAATGTAATTGACAGTTTTCAGTATAGGTCCTTTATGTTTCTTCTTTCCCATGTCTCATTGTAATGCTTCAAGATTTAGATTCTTACCTCAGCTAGAGGACCATTGAGAAACTAGTACTCTTTGGTTTTCCAGTGGTTCTCTAACTGATGTCATTTCGCGATCAAATCAGTAACTAATTAAATCCCTGCATAACAACACTTGATATCGATTCTCAGTAAGATGTTATTATGATCACGAAATTCTCATGAGTCTTATTTCCTGAGCACAGAGCACTTGGTCGAATAAAATTGTTCTAATCAAACTTGACAGACAAACAAAATTATATGTATTTTTATGTAATTTAACTCAATTCAGGTTGGAATTATCTTCATAAAAATGTAACACTAATCTGTCTCTTAAGGGTTGGCTGATTTGACCTAAAATCGAAGTGTTGATTGAAAAATTCAAAAATCCATGAGGAACGTGACATCTGACTCGCTAAACTTGGCAGCATTTCATCACTGCATGTCCATAGATACATCGCATCTTAAAGCTAAATCCCTTAGTTATTGAAGTGATGATCGTATCAGTCAGTCACATATGTTCAGTTATTCACTTGTGATGGAATCAGCTTTAAATGCGAACACCACTGGCAACATTGATGTTTACTGCCTCAGGTTATAAAACAAAGATTTAGCTAAATACTCTATTTCACCCACTCTCTTTATACTGATCTGTTTGAGCTTTGAGATATCCTTAGGTCCATAACAATCTATGACGAAGGGAGATTTCAAATACTAAGTTTAAAGTCACTGGACTTCAAAGGCTGAAAGTGAAGATTCGTCTCCTTATTTGGATTTTTATATTGTGTTACATATCGCATATTTGTAACAGTCTTCCGCAGTTTTTGAAGTTCAGTATTATTTGCATTAGTTGAAAATTTCTGAACCGAATGTCGGAGGATTCAGCCGACTGAACTCATAAAGAACCGAGTAAAATGGAAGAATTATTTGAAAAATTCCCTCCTGAATGATCTAATTAAAATGTTTATACTCATTTGGATGTTTCAACTAACTTCGTTATTATTATTTGTTTTTCTCCCACACTGTTCATCGCTGTCCTGACAGTTCCATACCACACGTTGACTTGATCCTTATTATTTGTATCAATTCGTGTTTAATCCCGGATTTCAGTACCTCTTTTTGTAAGTACAGTGATAGTGTGTTTCACGAGGCGATTTTGTTTGGGTGAGTCAAAGTCATTCTGACATATCAGCGAAATTGTTGATGTGTGATTCTTGTGGACGAACTCTTCTTCCCACCTTGTTAGAAATATTCCACTTGACTCAAAGTTTTCATTTTACACATGAAAAATAACCCTGAATTCATAGCGGTTCAGTGGCACTATGGATGTAATTTTGAACTTTGAAGTTACCATTGTTTAGTAGAGCTCTACATAAATTTCAACAACGAATAATCGTCTTTTGCTGTCTATGGAGCGTTTTATGACTGTACGTGTCTCAGAGAACGTTTTCATACCAGTAGTAGAACTCAGAAATCGGTCTCCTGAGCTTAGATCATGATAAACTACCAAGATGCTTGAATTATAAGATGCAAACGTATGATTCTAATATACTTGCGTTAAGCCCTGAATCCTGCGTTCATTCACTTGACGACGACGACGACTGGATTCAGGGATCTTGAGTAAAACCATGTTTGTAAGATGAAACATTTATTCGGTTAAACAAGATACAAATAAAGATAAAGTTATGAGAGTTGAAAAACCAATCATTTATCAGCTTCTAATTTCTAAAAAAATTAGAGAATAAATATACATTAAGTTTTATTTTAAAGTGCACAACAGGAACAGCTTAATAGTTCAAATGCTGATTCGTTACATTAAACAGCAGTGTGAAGGTAATATTCATTCAATTTATATCACTATTACGTCTCAACGAAAATAAAATAATCACATATACAGTAATCACATATACATAAGAAGGTAACTGACATAGGCAATTGGAAAACAAGAAATAGTAAGTGGAACTATGGGAACCGTGTAGACCTTTATGCAGCGACTGACTGATGAAATATAGCAGACATTAAAACTATTAGTAATACCCGAGAAATACAAATATTGTTTCTGAAAGTTATTTTTCTCAGCAGTTTGTATATTTTCTCAAAAATGAATTGGATCAGAATAGAAATAAATCGAACTGCGATTCCGCTAATAGTAAGTTAAAGTAGGCAGAAAATTATTTTGGCTTAATGAGATATCAAGCTTCTTTTCCTTGAACTTTGGAATAAAAATAGACATTTACTATGAAGTATAAACGCCTAGACTTCTAGGTTTCGGCTGAACAAAACTGTATTACAAAATTATTTATGAGTTCATTCCACGGTGCTCTGCCTTAACTTCAACTTACTTTATATCGTTTCAGTACACGTGTAAATGTGGAATCGTAAAGATTAGTAGATTTCGATAAAAGAAGAATTCGGTTGTTTTCGGAGCTATAGCATTCGGTCTTAGATGTTTTCTTTTTAGGCTTGGTGACATATTCAACACTTCTTTAGTGAAAAAAATAATTATATGTGATTGTCACATCATAACTCAGAATACCCATTTGATCAGATGTTAATAACAAATTGGCAGAAATAATTAATTGCATATTCAAGAATTTCGGAAACGCTTATTACTATCATTATTACATTATTAAAATGTTTAATAGTAATACTGAGGGTGGATGAATGCCTATCAAAATGTCTTTTGTCTATATAGAAGAAGATTATTACCAACCTCATTCAATTGTTTCCTTCGTTGAATCTAAATAATGCAGAAAAAGTAGCTTTAGCAAAATTAGTTGTGTTGAGTATATTTTACAGAGCTTTTGTCAGGCATATATATTCAACGCGAATAACAAAGCACTTAACTGATAAGAGTGACATAACGTCAACATGCTTAACTGAACAATCAGCTCATTCCACCAGAATAGAATTATTGTTAAAAACGCAACTGATGTACGAATTATGTATATATATATAACAACCAGTTAAATTCAAGTGACGATTTTCTATACCGACGGGGCCAATTTCAAGGAATTCAACTGTTTCACTTATCCAGGCAGCATCATTCCAACTGCAGGCAGCATGGATGAAGATATCACAGCCAGTTTCTGAAAGGCGAGATAGACTATCATTCTGAAATCCATGTGGAAATCTACTGCACTAGAGAACAAAATTCAGATTTTCAACACTAACATAAAGGCAATCAGTGCCTGTAAATATATTTCGGAGACTTGGTGTGTAACCATTAGCATTTCAGCCTTTCGTCAGCAGCTGTCTTTTCTCAGTACTAAAGAATAGATTGCTGAGAAGGATTAACGAAAAAGAACTGTGAGAAGGAAACAACCAAGGAACTACTGCCTAGCGAAAATGTAGAAAAACGGAGATGTATGCTGTGATCAATCACAGAGACAGATAAAGACAACTACAAAGAACAGGATGGAATGGAGATTTACTGTCGAGGCCCTTTGTCCCACTCGAAACCTAAGGGTATAATAGTAATAATCATGACAAGTATATTTCGTATTGTCAAGAGAGGAATATTCCAAAATTCGAAGGTGAATTCAGACATAGTTACTGAAGAACACGAACACTTATGGAAACAAAATGAAGACCGTGATGATTACAAAGATAATAATCACAATTAGTTCCAAATTAGACCTGTAGAAATATCAGTTTGCCCAATGAAGTAAAATTCTCATTAGCTAGACTGATAGTGTGTAAGCGAACCAAGGTAGTAATGACTATAGATCGTACGTTGGCTGTACAGCGGTAGAGTGTGCGTCGACCACACAGGTGGCCGAAGTTCGATCCTCAGCCGATGCACTTCTTTACCTTGGCAGACTAGTGATAAGACTGGAAAAGAAGGAAGGTTGAGCATAACGCCAGCAATCCCATCCTGTAAAAATAATCACCATTGCTACACAAACTTCAAGACTCTAGCTTCAAGCCTCATGTTGCACGAGGAACGTAAAGGAATAGAAGAAAACTATAGAACAGGTGTTTTCGGTGAATTTCCATTGGACGGTACTATGACGTAATGAAATATAAGTCGTGGGCATTTGAAACAATGTGCATAAACAGAATCAAATACGATCAAAGAAGTGCGAGTTGAACGTATATGCTAGTAGATAAAGAGGAGAAAATATTCACTGGCTCAGAGCCACTAAGTGATATAATAATAGTCATTTGTGAGACTTAGGTTGAAATATGCAACTGTAGCCAGTATGATATTGATGATTAAATCAGTAGTAGAAATAAGTAATATTTGCAGGACAGGGACCAAACAGATTTTTTCACCATAGGTGAATGTGGAGATAACCAATCCTCCGACAGAAAGTATTAAATTCAATCGTAAGTTAAAGCTACCAGTACCCAAAGAAACCAGAACTTCTTCAAGTTTTCAGCCTGAAATACCTACAGCCGTCTTTCGATGTATAAGGTAAGAATTGCTGTTCCACCTGCCACTGGAGTTATTTAAACTGGTGTCAGTATAACAAGTTAAGTGTAGGACGCTCCTTAGACAGATGATAAATTCCAGTATGACAAGATGATTTGTTCGGATAAACTACAAAATGGTCATACATGAAGTGAATATACACATATGAAGAAAATAGACAAATTAATAAGCGTTACCTAGTGAAGACACTGCCTGTTCTAGAATTTGGAATAAAATGAACATTAATTATCTCATACACATGAATAAAAAGATTTAGACGGCATAAAGAGAACTATATATGCAAAAATACATTATCAACATGTTTTTAATTATGAAGATATCGGTCAAAGTTTTGTCGCATATCAGGGTCACAATATCGCATGTGTTTCGTTAAACGATATTTGTTTTTATAAGTCTAAGTGTTTCTAAGTACTCTTGACAAAATGGGATCCCTTAGTTTAACAGCCTGTTTCAATAACTGACCTTCACACATTCAAGTAAAGAAATCGAGATACAATTTCAATGCTCAAGACATTTCGTGATATGACACTGATTTTTCCTATCTATTTATCGAAGTTTACCTTTTCAAAGTTATATTAATCAGAAAATATTTAGCTGATAACGGTTTTCGGTCATAACTGCACGTTTCTAATTTCAATACGATCTCTACCTGGGACAATAATAAAGGTCCTGTGAATGTGTTTTAGATGTACACCATGAAAACTGAACATTTCCGGTTGTTTTTTTCCATAGTGCGATATTTTCCTGGCATCATGAGCAGGAGAAATCACTAAATTAGTTTCGGATTTATTTTTATCATAAACTAACAGTTCTTATTCCATGTGACCAACGAAAAGATTACTATTATCTCAAATGACTCTTCTTCTATTTATTTGGCAGTTGCAATCGTATATTTAGCGTATGTTTAATTCTACAAACAAAACTTGATTTGCGTGAAAACCTATTTCTTGACATCGAGATTGTTGATGTCGACAAATAGACTGGATTTTGTTAAGGTTTTAGAATGTTTCCTTTTCAGAAAAATCTCTGTTTGTAGGAGGCACAGTCCCAATAAATCTATTTCATAGCTATAAAAGACGGCATCGAATGTTACTGAAGCTACAGAAATCTTGAAGTCCTAATTTTCACTCGTGATGCGGCAGATGATGACATAAATCAACCTCAATCAATTCGCTTTTCTAATCTTCCTTCCCAATAGTGACATTTTCTAGTCTCCTTAATAATGTATAACCATTTTCAAACAAAATATTTGGATGGACCGAATTATCTCGAAAATCGTCGAAACACATATTTTTTCAGCTCCAGGGCGTTGAGAACACTGGTAATAATCTCCACCAGAAGTTGGTGGGTAAAGTAAACCTTATTTGCTATCTACGAATCATTCTTCTGGATAATCACTTTATGCTTTACAATAGTGACAAATTGTGATTACAGAATAGATTAGTTCACATCCCCACACTGTCCTTTTGGACAGAGATAAAATCCAACAAAACACTTAGTGAATTTCGAATTCAAATTTAAATTTTATTATGTTCTTTTTCGATTTTCAGTCAGCAAAACCACTTTATTTCTCAAGATTGCCTTTAAATAAATATTCATTTCTACTCGTGAGCAACTATTCTGTTGTGTTACCTATGGTAAGCCATCGCCTTCCTCGATGAGCAGTGTGGCTGACGAAGGTTTACGTTCAAAAAGAGTTAGGAGTAGCCAAATTAAAAACTGGAACCAGTTGGTAAAGTCGTTGACATTTGGCATAAGCTACTCAGTGAGGTGTAAACTGCCTGGTTTGGCTCCTCGAAATACTAAGGATCAGTGGCTGGGGAGCATAACTGATATGGTTTAAGACCATTCTTAAGAGCACAGATGCATTCAAACTTTGTGATCTCCCACGCCTGCTAAGCCTTCATGTTAGCCACATTAACATTCTTTCTCCAGTAAATTTCTGCTCGTAATAGTTCTTTTGATTACTGCTTTTCTTTTCTTTACACTGTGTGTTACATGGAGGGCAGGAATTTGAGCTGATGCACTTCTGTACAAATTTCTATGTTGAAATTCAGTCAGACATAATGTTGTGTAACCTAATTCGGTCGTAAACAAACTCATTACTAGCTAGGTGGAATTTTATTCCTTATTAGAATGAGCATATTCTAGGTCGGTAGTGATTCAGAAGATTCATTCAAAATATGAAACAGTCCTTATCACTTTTCTGTATTCAAGAAATTTTCCCGCGCATGTTAAGTTTCAGTATCACCGTAAACATCACAGAGAAAAGCAAAGAGAAATTGGAAAGAAGTATCATTAAGTATCTGTGAGAAAATTCGGCGAAAATAGGCTCTGGGTCAGTCAAGAATATATACTCACCATAATATTCTGAATATTGACCTATAATTTCAATAAGGTTCATGTACACCATCTCACACTACATAAAGATGTTCATTTTAAAGGGAAAATATAAATGAATTATAATTATGTTTCTCTTCAGCTTGAGGTATTAGCACGTTTAGACGCTTTTCGAATGTTATCAACGAAATTCTCCTCATCATAAAATGGTTAGCGAAATAATGAAATTGCGATACTAATACATCACACTTTTCCAAACAAGAAACTCTGCTCTGACTCATAAAACACTGTTAAATATTATTTAGAGCTGTTATTTGAATTCAGGGCAAGAAGTGCTGTCCACTAGCTATGGCTATTGCCATCGCTTTTGTCTAATTTATTTATTGATGCATTAGTGTTTGACGCGAGCCGACTTCCCTGCTTCAGAGACTGACTTGTGATTTAGGAAGTGTATTACTTATTCACATTAGGCCTCTGATATTTTCCTGCAGGATGGGGTTCACTGAATACCACGAGTAAAATTCAATTTAGTTTCTGAATGGGTTTAGAAACTTTTAAATGATAACTGATGCTCAGTCACCGGTCTTAACCAACTCTGATTTTAAAGAATGGCGCTGTTGTGGTTAACACAATAAATGTTTTGGAGTTCCATTAGCTCAACTGCAGTGACTGCCGATGAGATCCCAGCAGAGACATAAAGCGCATATTAGAAGTACTAGACTTGTCTTAACTTCGGTTTTGTGGTAATAACTGGACATCCAGGGGATAAAATATGTATATTGTAACGTTGGTTCTAACTTCATTTATGTCCGCTAGAGGCAGCAGATTAAGAGGGACGATGCAGAATGTTTAAGCGGTCTCACCATACGCTCCTAGATTCAACCTCTCATATCATATGATGAGAAGTGGTCAGGAGAACCATATAATTGAAATGTATCCTGGGTTGGACAATTAAGCTATGAGCCATGCAGCGACTGTAGTTGAAGTCAACATTATGTGAAACTAGTATTGTTCGAGTGCATATCACACTTGTCTATCCATCCAACAAAATAATATTCACTAGTCAAGAGAAAGTCGCACTCATCAACAAATGAAATACAATCTCGACGACGCAGTTGTAAGGGGAACAAATTCAAATTGATTCCATAAAAGATTCTGTGTGATTCTGTTAGACTGAAGTTAAAAACTTACGTAATTTTTGACCTAACGTATAAAAGCGTATAGACGAAATGAGATAAGAAAGATATCATCACTTTTTAAAATCTATCCAAATTCCCATCCTTCAAATTACACAATCACACTTATATGAAATGTATATTTAGCAAACTGTTGCTCCCCTCTTAAAATCAAACGGAATCAGTGAAAACCTGCGGCTGGATCTGGTGAATCACAGATTTCTCCTCGAATTTCTAATCCTAAGGAAATCGATTATTACTGTACCACAAACTGCATCATTGGTTAGGTATCTTAGTTGAATTCATACGATGTTTGTCTGTGTATCGAATGAAAAAAACGTTCCTTAGTTTTCCTAGGAATCTAATTACCTATTAAATAAATCAACCAAGATTACGTCACCAATACAATTTCAAATACAACACTTTTAGTTTGTTATTTATAAGTGTGTAATTCAAATGTTGCAATTACTCACCAAAGATTGTCAAGTCCTTTTCTGGAAGTACAAAACACGGTATTAATCAACTGCGTGTTAACTGCTTAGATAAGAATTAATTTTAAATGTGAACACGGACTGATATCAGCTGGAAAAAACCAGGAAGTACTGAATAGGTGTCCTGCCCAAATTTGAACTCTTCAGATACACTCAACTATGACATAACGGAGGATCGAACTAGGCGCCTAAAGGTTAAAAGCCAAGCTCGGTGTTCACCATGGACTTTAAATTCTGTCATTTCACGATTTCTAGTTCCACTGCCACCACTGTCACCGGTGAGTATTCGTCATCACACACGGCTTGACTGGACCCACTAGTCATAATTTTTCACTCCAACGGCTTTCTTCCGTATGAATTAGTTGATTCTGAAGCGTCGAGTGGTAGGGATTTAAAATGGTTTCAAGTTTGATGACGGTTGACAAATCTCAAACTGGGATGAAATAGCTGTCCACTACCCCCTGTTTTTCAATGCTTCTTCAGGTTATATGAATCCCTGATCAAATTAGAAACCAGTTGAATCCACAGAAACTAATACTTGTAGATTATTATCCACCGGTTATATTCAGACACAGAGTGATTTGTGAATAACTGGACTGCAATGTCGTCAAAGTATAATAATGTGAAAGAATCATTTATGAAAAGGAACAACACAAACTGATACAGTATTATCATGAAACTTCTTTCAAGTGGTAGCAGATGATGGATTTAAAACTCACCTATTCGTTCACCTTGTGTTTACAAGGAGAAAATTTCACAAACTAAAATAAATAAAGATACATTACTGTAACGTCATAGGATTTCAACACTGGTCAGAAAACACCATAGAATTTAGTAGAATATATGTGTTTGACACATTGTGCTAGCTTTCGTTGATGTAAATAAAGCCAATCTACACATGGAAATGAATAAATCCTGTCATTTGAATTAATTTCCATTCAAGTTTCAAATGGTCAGAAAACCATCTCTAACCCATCAGATAACATCCAGTATGCAGCTGATAAATTGTGAAATTTCAATCCCCTTCACACAGTGCCAACTTGTAGGATTTTCATCTTATCAAAACCGTAGTGTAAAAATTATTCATTCCGTTCTCCACAAGAAACAAGATGAAATGTAATTTTGTGGAGTTATAGCCACGGTTATATACGAAAATTTCACTTCGAAGAAAACGGGTACGAGAAACTGACTACGTTCAATTCGATTCAAACTATCACATTTGCTCCTTTTAACATTTATTGTAATATTGCTTTAATGGATATATTTGTCTAAAGGTTAATAGGTACCCAGACATTTGTCTCTTTACTCTCATTACATATTTGCATTTGATATTTTTGGATATTTCCTCATTTATTCACCTCTCATATATTATATTGTGCCTTCACCAGCCTCGAATGCCTACTATCCTACATAATGTCTCCTTTGTGTACCACCTCTATGACAGAGAGCTATGACATTTCAGCCTATCGTAGTCAAAACGTTTTATGGAGATTTACCATGATAGATAAAAAGTTCAAAAAAGTTTTTCTTGACATTCAGCAATTCCAGTTATTTTGATGTATACTTGGAATTGAAGTATGCGCTGAAGATGTCACCCAGCAAGGTGATGAAAGCTTCGCAAACTAACCATCCAGCTCAAAGAACAAAACCACATCAAAATCATCCACCTGAGCTACAATTCTTCTCTATCATATCTAAATTCCAGTTATATGTGGGGTGCCGCAGCCTGCCGTATAACCCACATATTCAAAAATGCCCTATCACTTCGGCTTTTTAGGTGTGGTCCTCCATTCAGTACATGCAGATTCCACTTTAATCAATCATGGTTTCTCTGCTCCTAACAATTTAAATTTTGATCCGTCGTTGTGTCTTTTCCTTTTAATTGCAATGAAAATCACTTCATGTTGGAGAAATATGTCAGGAATTGGCGTCAGCGTAGGTTAATTTCTGATAGCGATTGTATCGTAGTGTGACCCTTGATAAGAGCGCTGTTTGGAAGTAGCAATTTTTATTTGGCAGAATGATGGCGATATACAGAAATTCCTTTATTGGTTTCTTTATAGTGTCACAAAAATCTTGAATTTTCCTGACTGCAACTTATTTTATAGCTCCGTTATTCAAGACTTTTGCAGAAGTTATCACGTAAAACGTGCTAATTATAAACTGTCATTAGGAGCGCAAATTGCAGTATTATTATTGACTTTTTGGAGCACTTTTCTGATACATCGAAAAGAAGTTGTTTTGATAAACTAAACTTGGGATCTCTTGGGTTGCTCGAAATGTTTCCGGTGATATTTCATTTCAATGCAGAGTTAATTCAAGCCAGTTGATGATCTCATTGGTAATAATTTAGAATTGAATTTCCTCATTTACTTAAAGGGAATAGTCTGTGAACGGTGCATTTACAAAACATAGCTGAGGATATTATAAATGCTGACCAGTATAAATACACATCGTACAACGTATGTTGAGTTGAACATTGATTTTCAATGGAGTTATATTTTCCATTCTACTCATATAAGACATATTTAGTTTAAATATCGTCTAGAATATGCGAAATCAATAATGTATGCGGGAAATTGTCGAATTAAAACAGCTGTCATAGTCACTTGCGTTGCATCGCCATTTTTGGTCTCTTTTGAGGCTTAGCAAACAACTCAATAGCTATAATGCCTTATACACCAAATCACTAGAACCATACACGACTGACACCAGAATGAAAAGTCGACTTACCTAATTTTTGGACCCTGTCACCTAAATGTACAGCGGTACATGAATTTTAAACCACCACTGGACTTACAGTAAACGCAAATATGTATGTAGCACTCAACAGTCACATGTTTTATCAGACTCCACAGATTAGGCATGAACAGTAAACTCTTTTTGTAAATTGAAAATCCAAGTTTCATATGCAGTGTGAGAAGTAATCTATTAAAAGCGTGATAAAAATGCAAGTTGACTGCACCCTATTTCTTCACATCTATTTTTCATGTGTTCTTGAACAAAGGGAACTCCAAATATTGACGATGTCTCGTCAGTATCCAAACCTATCTTCTTTAAAGTGGTAGCTGTGTGACTCAATGTCCAATGAGATTTACAGAATATGATATATTTGACAAAAATGACAATCCAATAACCTTTCTGATGGACAACTGGTAGCAAAACCTTCCACACTTTAAATGTGCTCAACGTTAAAAGTGAAGTGAACGTTGTTAGTAGGGATGAATAATAATGAACCTTTCAAAGACGTAGGACGTGTGGTAAATAGAATATCACTAAAATATCCGAAAGCATATAGAATGCTAACGATCTGAGTTAAAAGAACGTTAGATTACTTCACATGAACACTTTTATGTTAATATCACAAGACATTAAACTAGTTCGAAATTCTTTCAAAAGGAACGTGTATAATTCATTTCGAATCATACTAAACACTTTGCCAACTGATCTAGCATTTCAGGTTTAAGGAGAACGATATATTCAGACAAAAAGTTGTTTAGGGTTAAAAGTGACACGTATCTTAAACAATATGTAAACGTCTGGAATGTCGAAGCTCGTCTCTAATTTATTAACAATATCCATAATTAGACTGACATAAATTTCTTCATAACCGTCAAATTCAACTCATATTTTTGAATGCCAAAGAGTGGATGCGTTTTCTATGACAGTCAAACCAATTCGTCAGAAGTTCGAAATTTACTTTCACATTAAGAAAATAAGTGAAACTGTTAGTTAATACTATGTGGATTCAGGTTCTCACTACTTTGGAATATACGTCTAACTGTTAAGACAATAGTGGATTAATATAAGGATTTTAAACCAATTTACCGATTTCCTTAGGTATCACGTCTAAACGTAGAGAATAAAACATATTTACACGACGATAAATAAGAATTTGTACATGAGGTTGTGACAGCCACTCTTTCTGTCAGTCAAGAGAGATTAGATATGGAAAAAGCAGATGATTTTTATAAAATAAAATCTGAGGTTTGTCTCTCATTCCAGGTACAATAAAAACTATGCATGTGGAACTAATGAGTGAATGCCGCCAATTCCACTCTCCACATACGTTTGTACACACATGTAAAAACGTTTAATATAATCACTTTTGGAATGTTGATTCTTGTAGGGGAGCGTGTTTTCAGTCTTTCTGTGAATCGAAAGCTGAGCTGCCAATTAAAAAAATCTGGTCTATTTTAAGGCCATACTGCTGATCTAGCATTCGTAAGATAAATTGACATGGACAGCGTTTGTGAGCATAGGTGAAAACTGCAGACTTTGGTCTTATCTGTCCTCCGTATCACTTGTAGAGCTTCACATTATATATCTGATTTCGACAATTGTACCAGTCAATATTTTATTATCATTACCAAAATATATTCCAAAATAAATATGCTTAGTCGACCTGAATAAAGCTTTCTTGTGATCAAATATGCCCAATACATAAGACGTTAAAGGGATAATGTAAACCGAAACATTGACTCACTTATTTCAACGGAAACTTCATCTAAACGTGCAGGAGAAAACAAATTCCATATGTAAATTGACTTACAAAGCATACAAATAAAAATGGAAGGTTTAACAATCACACTTCACCTCAACCATCAAAGGTTAGACATTAAAACACTGGCATTGTTAACTAAAAATCTGAGTTCTGTATATTATTTCAGATACAAAATTAGTAGATTTTATACTTAAAAGTACATTAGTTTGACGTCAAACACGACAGGGAACTATAGCATCATCTTGTTTTCTTGAATTTGTAAGCCAGCTGAAGTAAACGAACTAAAAACAGTCTACTTAGTTGGACATCTCTGAAATAGGGCTTTCTATAAAATACTGCACCTGTTCGAATATTTGTGAACTGAATTAAGAAATTTGTACATCTTGAAGATGAGGTTATGATTAGTAGTAGAGCTGGGTGCTTCAGGATGTTTGTGTGCGTTGAGAAAACAAGGGCCTTGTAAACTATAAAATATTGATCATGAATGATTTACGTGAATTCATCGTTACATAAGGCAGGAAAAGTTTACACAGAAACTAAGAGACTGAAACCTTTTGTCCATCTCATAGAAACAAGCTGCTTGATCTCAGTTAGTACGTCTATATGTAAGTGTTTTAGGCATTCGAGAGATATCCAGGTGCATTATACAGTGAATTAGCCTTCATTGCACATTATCTCTGTGATCAAAGCAACGCGTACGCCACAACTGATATACTAGTTATCACTATTACTCTTAAGTTTTGTTTGAAGGAGCACAGTGGAAAATAGTACTCACGCGTAAAGTGTATTAAAAGAAGAACGCAGGCTTGTAAAATGACGAGTTTGTGGAGTATGTGCATGGTAACACAAGTTGTAAAGACTTTGAAGTTTCATGGTACTTAAAATTCTGTATTTATACTTTTCACACAGGCTGTGTAGCTTGTGATTATAGGTGTCTTTTCTAGGTAGTATGTCATTGTACTTAGGTGGTGTTGTTTTTAATTATATCTAAGTTTGCTTTTTGATGTGAAGATACAAATCAATATATCATTATCGTCTAAGTACTGGAATTGTTTATGTAAACTGACACTGAATCCTAATGTTACATATTAGGTACAATTATGTGTTTATGTTTTTCTCTTCCTAGTACCTACCACATATATATTTTGAATGGTGACTTTCACGGCTGGCTAAGCATATAATGTTTACAAACACTCCTCAAATGAGTAGTTCAAAATTGGAATATTTAGGAGTAATATGAATCAAGTTATTCCAGTAAAGTATAATAGCAGACAAGTTATTCGAGGAAGAGGGTCTCATGAACATCCGAACTCCAAATCCTGAAATTCGAGTAAACTAATGCATAATATGCCATGAAATCCTAAATATGTAATTTAACTTTCTCCTTGGATGTGATGTTTACATGCACAACATGTCTTCATGGTTATTTTGATTAGCTTCCTTTCATGAGAGTTAATCTGATTGTTTACATCATGACGAGGCAACTCACACGTTCAACCGTAAGCAATATTTCATCCTTTGAGAAATAAAAATAAAAACATCACGGAAGTGTCAAAACATATTTAGTCGTGAAGTGCTTCAAAGCGCAGCCATTTTGTTCACCATGGCAATCAACAGATTCTGAACACATATGAGTAGAATGATTCTAAGGCAATCGAAAATGGCTTCACTCCAATATATATATATATATATATATATATATATTTATATATATACAGGTGTTCATTACTGTGAAGTCCGTAGGGAGATCTGGTAGGGGAGGAAAGTTAGAACTCCGAATACATATCACTTCAGTGCTCGAAGAGCGTTCAGAGAGGCTTTCACCATCAGATGCCCTAGTAATTGTACCTGGAATAGTGGTCAAGTCCAGTAATAATGAGATTTGATGAAGTAGGCAAATAAATAGAAATACCGTAAATATACTGTTCAGATTTAGAAGTGTTCACACATGAATCTTCTGAAAATCGAACTCTGGAGTTTCACGCTATGATTTCAGCACATTTTTTATTAAGGCAAACAAATACGACTTAATTATACCTTACATCACATTATTTCACCGAGAGGACACTACAGTATCATTGAATTTCAGCAAAGTTAATTAATGGGAGCCGCCAAAATACCCTGAATAACCTTCACAGTAAAATGGTGACTATGTGAGTATTGGAATCACTGAATCTACTGAAACTTGCATATGCTAGGAAAAAATGTAGAAAATGTACCCAACAGAAGTGCCACTACGTTGGTACCAAATATTCAGAAATCAGTCAGACCTGGTACAACAATGCACACCGAAGTGTGGGTTGGATATAAACACATATAACCGTTATTTTTATCCAGGACATGCACGTATCGCATATAATATGGTTTCACACTGAAAAAAGTTAAATACTACCAATAAAGTAGTTATATATTTATTATGTTAAACATACTGATAGGATCACGAGGATTACTGGATAACTGTTTGAAATAGCATTAAATTTGTAAAGTGAGCAAACGTTTCATCTATTCAAGAATAAGGAATGAATGAGACCTTCTCAAAGAAGAAATATATCATACCGACTAAGTATTTTCAAGCGGTACTATCATATTTTCATTTACTAAAAATGCATCCAGGAGTATTGAAGTTGTTCAGTAAATTCAAATGAAGTAAAAATAATTAAAGTGGCCTCTGAAACAATTTAGCGGATGATGACTGATGGCAGCGGGATCAAGGACACACGTTTCTCCCCCATTTGGGACTCGTTAGAGACCAGACACTTCGGCCCTATCCAACAAAGGGAAAGTCCGAATAAGATCTCTTTATTATTCAGGAATTGTTTTCAGCTACTTACACATATTTGAGTAGCAAAACGAGTAGATGGAAAAAACGGGATCGATTCACCAAATAAAAATTTTTAGAAAGTGTATTTACATGACCTGCTGACAAGATTTCCCAAGTAGTATACTGTGTTTGTTATAAATATAATGGTGAAACAACACAATCTCTGCCTTACTTCAAAACCATTTATGATGTAGTTACAATCTTTAAGTAGTAAATTAACTAAATGCAAAGTAATCTGCAGATACCTTTATCAAATAAAATGCACTGAAATTATTAGCGAATAAAATGAGTCAAAGATGGTGACAGCTATGAGACAAAAGGGACAGAAAAGAAAAACGAAATATTTTTTGAAAGAATCTACAACTGCATTAACCTAAAGGAGTGACTGATAGAAATCACCGCCAGTTAGAATGCATATTTCAAGACAATAATAATAACAACAGTTTGTCGGAGGTGTTGGAAAAGGATGTGTTTGAATTTTCTTCAGAGGCGAGTTGTGTGATGAATTACTGTGTAAGAGTATTATTCAGTTCAATAAAGATAATCTCATTAAAAACTCTTTACAGATTGCTTTTTGTCTTTTGGTTTTTGTATACGTCAATTTTACGAATGATCTTTGATAACATTTCCATTACATCTCTACTTCACGAGCCACATTTTTCTTAATTTTTTTATTTATTTTGTTTATTTTTGATCACAACTTGATTTTACACTGTATGTACAAGTTTGGAATTTTGAGCATGGATATCGATAGGCCAGTTTTGCATGCCGATCACTGATATCATGTGATCGTCGGAAAGGGATCGAAACTCGGAACATGTGGATGGTCGGCGAGAGTCCTAACCACTGTGCTACCGACGCACTTTAGGTGACAGTGTGCGTATGGAAGGGATTATGAATAATAAAAATAATATAACAAACTGGCATCGGAGATATTAGCACAAAGGATGGAAAATATTTAGGGATCTTTAGTCAGACATTAAATCTACAGACCACAACCAATGGACTGAAATTTTCTATTATATTGCTCAAAATCGAATGATTACCTTCATAAAATTAAAGAAATAGTCTAGTGTTATAAAATTTTGTAAAATTAAAAGTTAAGACGTGGATTCAAATTACATATAACTGCATGGCCTAGAAAGGAGTTGTAATAATAACCATAATAATAACAACTATTATGGGGACATAAAGCAAAACTGACGATTTCCTGACCTCAGTAGAATAGTCATTTTCTATTTCTATTACATCTATGTCAGAGACATAAGGATTTCAAAAAGGGAAAAATGGCACTTTATTATTCGTTGAGCAAAAATATAAGTAATTTTCATAACTTTATTTTTAATAAGTGATGTATGTGAAATGTCTCATAAACGGATTGATTGCACACAGCCTGCAGGTAGGCTTCCATAAAACTGCTTAATAAACCTCACTATTAAATCTTAACATTTTGAGATATTTAACACGAAAACTGACAGGAAATATGAATATTCTGTCGAGATAGAGCAAATATAAAAAAAGCCAACAGAAGGAAGTCTGAGCTTCATTACATAATATGATGTAGGTGAATTAAAGTTTCATTTGGTTGGCTTAATATAAAATGTGCTGAAATCGTAGCGTGAAACTCCAGAGTTCGATTTTCAGAAGATTCATGTGTGAACACTTCTAAATCTGAACAGTATATTTACGGTATTTCTATTTATTTGCCTACTTCATCAAATCTCATTATTACTGGACTTGACCACTATTCCAGGTACAATTACTAGGGCATCTGATGGTGGAAGCCTCTCTGAACGCTCTTCGAGCACTGAAGTGATATGTATTCGGAGTTCTAACTTTCTCCTCTACCAGATCTCCCTACGGACTTCACAGTAATGAACACCTGTATATATATATATATATATATATATATATATATATATTGGAGTGAAGCCATTTTCGATTGCCTTAGAATCATTCTACTCATATGTGTTCAGAATCTGTTGATTGCCAAGGTGAACAAAAAGGCTGCGCTTTGAAGCACTTCACGACTAAATATGTTTTGACACTTCCGTGATGTTTTTATTTTTATTTCTCAAAGGATGAAATATTGCTTACGGTTGAACGTGTGAGTTGCCTCGTCATGATGTAAACAATCAGATTAACTCTCATGAAACGAAGCTTATCAAAATAACCATGAAGATATGTTGTGCATGTAAACATCACATCCAAGGAGAAAGTTAAATTACAGATTTAGGATTTCATGGCATATTATGCATTAGTTTACTCGAATTTCAGGATTTGGAGTTCGGATGTTCATGAGACCCTCTTCCTCGAATAACTTGTCTGCTATTATACTTTACTGGAATAACTTGATTCATATTACTCCTAAATATTCCAATTTTGAACTACTCATTTGAGGAGTGTTTGTAAACATTATATGCTTAGCCAGCCGTAAAAGTCACCATTAAAAATATATATGTGGTAGGTACTAGGAAGAGAAAAACATAAACACATAATTGTACCTAATATGTAACATTAGGATTCAGTGTCAGTTTACATAAACAATTCCAGTACTCAGACGATAATGATATATTGATTTGTATCTTCACATCAAAAAGCAAACTTAGATATAATTAAAAACAACACCACCTAAGTACAATGACATACTACCTAGAAAAGACACCTATAATCACAAGCTACACAGCCTGTGTGAAAAGTATAAATACAGAATTTTAAGTACCATGAAACTTCAAAGTCTTTACAACTTGTGTTACCATGCACATACTCCACAAACTCGTCATTTTACAAGCCTGCGTTCTTCTTTTAATACACTTTACGCGTGAGTACTATTTTCCACTGTGCTCCTTCAAACAAAACTTAAGAGTAATAGTGATAACTAGTATATCAGTTGTGGCGTACACGTTGCTTTGATCACAGAGATAATGTGCAATGAAGGCTAATTCACTGTATAATGCACCTGGATATCTCTCGAATGCCTAAAACACTTACTTATAGACGTACTAACTGAGATCAAGCAGCTTGTTTCTATGAGATGGACAAAAGGTTTCAGTCTCTTAGTTTCTGTGTAAACTTTTCCTGCCTTATGTAACGATGAATTCACGTAAATCATTCATGATCAATATTTTATAGTTTACAAGGCCCTTGTTTTCTCAACGCACACAAACATCCTGAAGCACCCAGCTCTACTACTAATCATAACCTCATCTTCAAGATGTAAAATTTCTTAATTCAGTTCACAAATATTCGAACAGGTGCAGTATTTTATAGAAAGCCCTATTTCAGAGATGTCCAACTAAGTAGACTGTTTTTAGTTCGTTTACTTCAGCTGGCTTACAAATTCAAGAAAACAAGATGATGCTATAGTTCCCTGTCGTGTTTGACGTCAAACTAATGTACTTTTAAGTATAAAATCTACTAATTTTGTATCTGAAATAATATACAGAACTCAGATTTTTAGTTAACAATGCCAGTGTTTTAATGTCTAACCTTTGATGGTTGAGGTGAAGTGTGATTGTTAAACCTTCCATTTTTATTTGTATGCTTTGTAAGTCAATTTACATATGGAATTTGTTTTCTCCTGCACGTTTAGATGAAGTTTCCGTTGAAATAAGTGAGTCAATGTTTCGGTTTACATTATCCCTTTAACGTCTTATGTATTGGGCATATTTGATCACAAGAAAGCTTTATTCAGGTCGACTAAGCATATTTATTTTGGAATATATTTTGGTAATGATAATAAAATATTGACTGGTACAATTGTCGAAATCAGATATATAATGTGAAGCTCTACAAGTGATACGGAGGACAGATAAGACCAAAGTCTGCAGTTTTCACCTATGCTCACAAACGCTGTCCATGTCAATTTATCTTACGAATGCTAGATCAGCAGTATGGCCTTAAAATAGACCAGATTTTTTTAATTGGCAGCTCAGCTTTCGATTCACAGAAAGACTGAAAACACGCTCCCCTACAAGAATCAACATTCCAAAAGTGATTATATTAAACGTTTTTACATGTGTGTACAAACGTATGGGAGAGTGGAATTGGCGGCATTCACTCATTAGTTCCACATGCATAGTTTTTATTGTACCTGGAATGAGAGACAAACCTCAGATTTTATTTTATAAAAATCATCTGCTTTTTCCATATCTAATCTCTCTTGACTGACAGAAAGAGTGGCTGTCACAACCTCATGTACAAATTCTTATTTATCGTCGTGTTAATATGTTTTATTCTCTACGTTTAGACGTGATACCTAAGGAAATCGGTAAATTGGTTTATCATCCTTATATTAATCCACTATTGTCTTAACAGTTAGACGTATATTCCAAAGTAGTGAGAACCTGAATCCACATAGTATTAACTGACAGTTTCACTTATTTTCTTAATGTGAAAGTAAATTTCGAACTTCTGACGAATTGGTTTTACTGTCATAGAAAACGCATCCACTCTTTGGCATTCAAAAATATGAGTTGAATTTGACGGTTATAAAGAAATTTATGTCAGTCTAATTATGGATATTGTTAATAAATTAGAGACGAGCTTCGACATTCCAGACGTTTACATATTGTTTAAGATACGTGTCACTTTTAATCCTAAACAACTTTTTGTCTGAATATATCGTTCTCCTTAAACCTGAAATGCTAGATCAGTTGGCAAAGTGTTTAGTATGATTCGAAATGAATTATACACGTTCCTTTTGAAAGAATTTCGAACTAGTTTAATGTCTTGTGATATTAACATAAAAGTGTTCATGTGAAGTAATCTAACGTTCTTTTAACTCAGATCGTTAGCATTCTATATGCTTTCGGATATTTTAGTGATATTCTATTTACCACACGTCCTACGTCTTTGAAAGGTTCATTATTATTCATCCCTACTAACAACGTTCACTTCACTTTTAACGTTGAGCACATTTAAAGTGTGGAAGGTTTTGCTACCAGTTGTCCATCAGAAAGGTTATTGGATTGTCATTTTTGTCAAATATATCATATTCTGTAAATCTCATTGGACATTGAGTCACACAGCTACCACTTTAAAGAAGATAGGTTTGGATACTGACGAGACATCGTCAATATTTGGAGTTTCCTTTGTTCAAGAACACATGAAAAATAGATGTGAAGAAATAGGGTGCAGTCAACTTGCATTTTTATCACGCTTTTAATAGATTACTTCTCACACTGCATATGAAACTTGGATTTTCAATTTACAAAAAGAGTTTACTGTTCATGCCTAATCTGTGGAGTCTGATAAAACATGTGACTGTTGAGTGCTACATACATATTTGCGTTTACTGTAAGTCCAGTGGTGGTTTAAAATTCATGTACCGCTGTACATTTAGGTGACAGGGTCCAAAAATTAGGTAAGTCGACTTTTCATTCTGGTGTCAGTCGTGTATGGTTCTAGTGATTTGGTGTATAAGGCATTATAGCTATTGAGTTGTTTGCTAAGCCTCAAAAGAGACCAAAAATGGCGATGCAACGCAAGTGACTATGACAGCTGTTTTAATTCGACAATTTCCCGCATACATTATTGATTTCGCATATTCTAGACGATATTTAAACTAAATATGTCTTATATGAGTAGAATGGAAAATATAACTCCATTGAAAATCAATGTTCAACTCAACATACGTTGTACGATGTGTATTTATACTGGTCAGCATTTATAATATCCTCAGCTATGTTTTGTAAATGCACCGTTCACAGACTATTCCCTTTAAGTAAATGAGGAAATTCAATTCTAAATTATTACCAATGAGATCATCAACTGGCTTGAATTAACTCTGCATTGAAATGAAATATCACCGGAAACATTTCGAGCAACCCAAGAGATCCCAAGTTTAGTTTATCAAAACAACTTCTTTTCGATGTATCAGAAAAGTGCTCCAAAAAGTCAATAATAATACTGCAATTTGCGCTCCTAATGACAGTTTATAATTAGCACGTTTTACGTGATAACTTCTGCAAAAGTCTTGAATAACGGAGCTATAAAATAAGTTGCAGTCAGGAAAATTCAAGATTTTTGTGACACTATAAAGAAACCAATAAAGGAATTTCTGTGTATCGCCATCATTCTGCCAAATAAAAATTGCTACTTCCAAACAGCGCTCTTATCAAGGGTCACACTACGATACAATCGCTATCAGAAATTAACCTACGCTGACGCCAATTCCTGACATATTTCTCCAACATGAAGTGATTTTCATTGCAATTAAAAGGAAAAGACACAACGACGGATCAAAATCTAAATTGTTAGGAGCAGAGAAACCATGATTGATTAAAGTGGAATCTGCATGTACTGAATGGAGGACCACACCTAAAAAGCCGAAGTGATAGGGCGTTTTTGAATATGTGGGTTATACGGCAGGCTGCGGCACCCCACATAAAATAACTGGAATTGCTGAATGTCAAGAAAAACTTTTTTGAACTTTTTATCTATCATGGTAAATCTCCATAAAACGTTTTGACTACGATAAGCTGAAATGTCATAGCTCTCTGTCATAGAGGTGGTACACAAAGGAGACATTATGTAGGATAGTAGGCATTCGAGGCTGGTGAAGGCACAATATAATATATGAGAGGTGAATAAATGAGGAAATATCCAAAAATATCAAATGCAAATATGTAATGAGAGTAAAGAGACAAATGTCTGGGTACCTATTAACCTTTACACAAATATATCCATTAAAGCAATATTACAATAAATGTTAAAAGGAACAAATGTGATAGTTTGAATCGAATTGAACGTAGTCAGTTTCTCGTACCCGTTTTCTTCGAAGTGAAATTTTCGTATATAACCGTGGCTATAACTCCACAAAATTACATTTCATCTTGTTTCTTGTGGAGAACGGAATGAATAATTTTTACACTTCGGTTTTGATAAGATGAAAATCCTACAAGTTGGCACTGTGTGAAGGGGATTGAAATTTCACAATTTATCAGCTGCATACTGGATGTTATCTGATGGGTTAGAGATGGTTTTCTGACCATTTGAAACTTGAATGGAAATTAATTCAAATGACAGGATTTATTCATTTCCATGTGTAGATTGGCTTTATTTACATCAACGAAAGCTAGCACAATGTGTCAAACACATATATTTTACTAAATTCTATGGTGTTTTCTGACCAGTGTTGAAATCCTATGACGTTACAGTAATGTATGTTTATTTATTTTAGTTTGTGAAATTTTCTCCTTGTAAACACAAGGTGAACGAATAGGTGAGTTTTAAATCCATCATCTGCTACCACTTGAAAGAAGTTTCATGATAATACTGTATCAGTTTGTGTTGTTCCTTTTCATAAATGATTCTTTCACATTATTATACTTTGACGACATTGCAGTCCAGTTATTCACAAATCACTCTGTGTCTGAATATAACCGGTGGATAATAATCTACAAGTATTAGTTTCTGTGGATTCAACTGGTTTCTAATTTGATCAGGGATTCATATAACCTGAAGAAGCATTGAAAAACAGGGGGTAGTGGACAGCTATTTCATCCCAGTTTGAGATTTGTCAACCGTCATCAAACTTGAAACCATTTTAAATCCCTACCACTCGACGCTTCAGAATTAACTAATTCATACGGAAGAAAGCCGTTGGAGTGAAAAATTATGACTAGTGGGTCCAGTCAAGCCGTGTGTGAGGACGAATACTCACCGGTGACAGTGGGTGGCAGTGGAACTAGAAATCGTGAAATGACAGAATTTAGAGTCCATTGGTGAACACCGAGCTTGGCTTTTAACCTTTAGGCGCCTAGTTCGATCCTCCGTTATGTCATAGTTGAGTGTATCTGAAGAGTTCAAATTTGGGCAGGACACCTGTTCAGTACTTCCTGGTTTTTTCCAGCTGATATCAGTCCGTGTTCACATTTAAAATTAATTCTTATCTAAGCAGTTAACACGCAGTTGATTAATACCGCGTTTTGTACTTCCAGAAAATGACTTGACAATCTTTGGTGAGTAATTGCAACATTTGAATTACACACTTATAAATAACAAACTAAAAGTGTTGTATTTGAAATTGTATTGGTGACGTAATCTTGGTTGATTTATTTAATAGGTAATTAGATTCCTAGGAAAACTAAGGAACTTTTTTTTCATTCGATACACAAACAAACATCGTATGAATTCAACTAAGATACCTAACCAATGATGCAGTTTGTGGTACAGTAATAATCGATTTCCTTAGGATTAGAAATTCGAGGAGAAATCTGTGATTCACCAGATCCAGCCGCAGGTTTTCACTGATTCCGTTTGATTTTAAGAGGGGAGCAACAGTATGCTAAATATATATTTCATATAAGTGTGATTGTGTAATTTGAAGGATGGGAAATTTGGATAGATTTTAAAAAGTGATGATATCTTTCTTATCTCATTTCGTCTATATGCTTTTATACGTTAGGTCAGAAATTACGTAAGTTTTTAACTTCAGTCTAACAGAATCACACAGAATCTTTTATGGAATCAATTTGAATTTGTTCCCCTTACAACTGCGTCGTCGAGATTGTATTTCATTTGTTGATGAGTGCGACTTTCTCTTGACTAGTGAATATTATTTTGTTGGATGGATAGACAAGTGTGATATGCACTCGAACAATACTAGTTTCACATAATGTTGACTTCAACTACAGTCGCTGCATGGCTCATAGCTTAATTGTCCAACCCAGGATACATTTCAATTATATGGTTCTCCTGACCACTTCTCATCATATGATATGAGAGGTTGAATCTAGGAGCGTATGGTGAGATCGCTTAAACATTCTGCATCGTCCCTCTTAATCTGCTGTCTCTAGCGGACATAAATGAAGTTAGAACCAACGTTACAATATACATACTCTATCCCCTGGATATCCAGTTATTACCACAAAACCGAAGTTAAGACAAGTCTAGTGCTTCTAATATGCGCTTTATGTCTCTGCTGGGATCTCATCGGCAGTCACTGCAGTTGAGCTAATGGAACTCCAAAACATTTATTGTGTTTAACTCGGTTAACCACAACAGCGCCATTCTTTAAAATCAGAGTTGGTTAAGACCGGTGACTGAGCATCAGTTATCATTTAAAAGTTTCTAAACCCATTCAGAAACTAAATTGAATTTTACTCGTGGTATTCAGAGAACCCCATCCTGCAGGAAAATATCAGAGGCCTAATGTGAATAAGTAATACACTTCCTAAATCACAAGTCAGTCTCTGAAGCAGGGAAGTCGGCTCGCGTCAAACACTAATGCATCAATAAATAAATTAGACAAAAGCGATGGCAATAGCCATAGCTAGTGGACAGCACTTCTTGTCCTGAATTCAAATAACAGCTCTAAATAATATTTAACAGTGTTTTATGAGTCAGAGTAGAGTTTCTTGTTTGGAAAAGTGTGATGTATTAGTATCGCAATTTCATTATTTTGCTAACCATTTTATGATGAGGAGAGTTTCGTTGATAACATTCGAAAAGCGTCTAAACGTGCTAATACCTCAAGCTGAAGAGAAACATAATTATGATTCATTTATATTTTCCCTTGAAAATGAACATCTTTATGTAGTGTGAGATGGTGTACATGAACCTTATTGAAATTATAGGTCAATATTCAGAATATTATGGTGAGTATATATTCTTGACTGACCCAGAGCCTATTTTCGCCAAATTTTCTCACAGATACTTAATGATACTTCTTTCCAATTTCTCTTTGCTTTTCTCTGTGATGTTTACGGTGATACTGAAACTTAACACGTGCGGGAAAATTTCTTGAATACAGAAAAGTGATAAGGACTGTTTCATATTTTGAATGAATCTTCTGAATCACTACCAACCTAGAATATGCTCATTCTAATAAGGAATAAAATTCCACCTAGCTAGTAATGAGTTTGTTTACGACCGAATTAGGTTACACAACATTATGTCTGACTGAATTTCAACATAGAAATTTGTACAGATGTGCATCAGCTCAAATTCCTGCCCTCCATGTAACACACAGTGTAAAGAAAAGAAAAGCAGTAATCAAAAGAACTATTACGAGCAGAAATTTACTGGAGAAAGAATGTTAATGTGGCTAACATGAAGGCTTAGCAGGCGTGGGAGATCACAAAGTTTGAATGCATCTGTGCTCTTAAGAATGGTCTTTAACCATATCAGTTATGCTCCCCAGCCACTGATCCTTACTATTTCGAGGAGCCAAACCAGGCAGTTTACACCTCACTGAGTAGCTTATGCCAAATGTCAACGACTTTACCGACTGGTTCCAGTTTTTAATTTGGCTACTCCTAACTCTTTTTGAACGTAAACCTTCGTCAGCCACCACTGCTCATCGAGGAAGGCGATGGCTTACCACAGGTAACACAACAGAATAGTTGCTCACGAGTAGAAATGAATATTTATTTAAAGGCAATCTTGAGAAATAAAGTGGTTTTGCTGACTGAAAATCGAAAAAGAACATAATAAAATTTAAATTTGAATTCGAAATTCACTAAGTGTTTTGTTGGATTTTATCTCTGTCCAAAAGGACAGTGTGGGGATGTGAACTAATCTATTCTGTAATCACAATTTGTCACTATTGTAAAGCATAAAGTGATTATCCAGAAGAATGATTCGTAGATAGCAAATAAGGTTTACTTTACCCACCAACTTCTGGTGGAGATTATTACCAGTGTTCTCAACGCCCTGGAGCTGAAAAAATATGTGTTTCGACGATTTTCGAGATAATTCGGTCCATCCAAATATTTTGTTTGAAAATGGTTATACATTATTAAGGAGACTAGAAAATGTCACTATTGGGAAGGAAGATTAGAAAAGCGAATTGATTGAGGTTGATTTATGTCATCATCTGCCGCATCACGAGTGAAAATTAGGACTTCAAGATTTCTGTAGCTTCAGTAACATTCGATGCCGTCTTTTATAGCTATGAAATAGATTTATTGGGACTGTGCCTCCTACAAACAGAGATTTTTCTGAAAAGGAAACATTCTAAAACCTTAACAAAATCCAGTCTATTTGTCGACATCAACAATCTCGATGTCAAGAAATAGGTTTTCACGCAAATCAAGTTTTGTTTGTAGAATTAAACATACGCTAAATATACGATTGCAACTGCCAAATAAATAGAAGAAGAGTCATTTGAGATAATAGTAATCTTTTCGTTGGTCACATGGAATAAGAACTGTTAGTTTATGATAAAAATAAATCCGAAACTAATTTAGTGATTTCTCCTGCTCATGATGCCAGGAAAATATCGCACTATGGAAAAAAACAACCGGAAATGTTCAGTTTTCATGGTGTACATCTAAAACACATTCACAGGACCTTTATTATTGTCCCAGGTAGAGATCGTATTGAAATTAGAAACGTGCAGTTATGACCGAAAACCGTTATCAGCTAAATATTTTCTGATTAATATAACTTTGAAAAGGTAAACTTCGATAAATAGATAGGAAAAATCAGTGTCATATCACGAAATGTCTTGAGCATTGAAATTGTATCTCGATTTCTTTACTTGAATGTGTGAAGGTCAGTTATTGAAACAGGCTGTTAAACTAAGGGATCCCATTTTGTCAAGAGTACTTAGAAACACTTAGACTTATAAAAAACATATCGTTTAACGAAACACATGCGATATTGTGACCCTGATATGCGACAAAACTTTGACCGATATCTTCATAATTAAAAACATGTTGATAATGTATTTTTGCATATATAGTTCTCTTTATGCCGTCTAAATCTTTTTATTCATGTGTATGAGATAATTAATGTTCATTTTATTCCAAATTCTAGAACAGGCAGTGTCTTCACTAGGTAACGCTTATTAATTTGTCTATTTTCTTCATATGTGTATATTCACTTCATGTATGACCATTTTGTAGTTTATCCGAACAAATCATCTTGTCATACTGGAATTTATCATCTGTCTAAGGAGCGTCCTACACTTAACTTGTTATACTGACACCAGTTTAAATAACTCCAGTGGCAGGTGGAACAGCAATTCTTACCTTATACTTCGAAAGACGGCTGTAGGTATTTCAGGCTGAAAACTTGAAGAAGTTCTGGTTTCTTTGGGTACTGGTAGCTTTAACTTACGATTGAATTTAATACTTTCTGTCGGAGGATTGGTTATCTCCACATTCACCTATGGTGAAAAAATCTGTTTGGTCCCTGTCCTGCAAATATTACTTATTTCTACTACTGATTTAATCATCAATATCATACTGGCTACAGTTGCATATTTCAACCTAAGTCTCACAAATGACTATTATTATATCACTTAGTGGCTCTGAGCCAGTGAATATTTTCTCCTCTTTATCTACTAGCATATACGTTCAACTCGCACTTCTTTGATCGTATTTGATTCTGTTTATGCACATTGTTTCAAATGCCCACGACTTATATTTCATTACGTCATAGTAGCGTCCAATGGAAATTCACCGAAAACACCTGTTCTATAGTTTTCTTCTATTCCTTTACGTTCCTCGTGCAACATGAGGCTTGAAGCTAGAGTCTTGAAGTTTCTGTAGCAATGGTGATTATTTTTACAGGATGGGATTGCTGGCGTTATGCTCAACCTTCCATCTTTTCCAGTCTTATCACTAGTCTGCCAAGGTAAAGAAGTGCATCGGCTGAGGATCGAACTTCGGCCACCTGTGTGGTCGACGCACACTCCACCGCTGTACAGCCAACGTACGATCTATAGTCATTACTACCTTGGTTCGCTTACACACTATCAGTCTAGCTAATGAGAATTTACTTCATTGGGCAAACTGATATTTCTACAGGTCTAATTTGGAACTAATTGTGATTATTATCTTTGTAATCATCACGGTCTTCATTTTGTTTCCATAAGTGTTCGTGTTCTTCAGTAACTATGTCTGAATTCACCTTCGAATTTTGGAATATTCCTCTCTTGACAATACGAAATATACTTGTCATGATTATTACTGCTATACCCTTAGGTTTCGAGTGGGACAAAGGGCCTCGACAGTAAATCTCCATTCCATCCTGTTCTTTGTAGTTGTCTTTATCTGTCTCTGTGATTGATCACAGCATACATCTCCGTTTTTCTACATTTTCGCTAGGCAGTAGTTCCTTGGTTGTTTCCTTCTCACAGTTGTTTTTCGTTAATCCTTCTCAGCAATCTATTCTTTAGTACTGAGAAAAGACAGCTGCTGACGAAAGGCTGAAATGCTAATGGTTACACACCAAGTCTCCGAAATATATTTACAGGCACTGATTGCCTTTATGTTAGTGTTGAAAATCTGAATTTTGTTCTCTAGTGCAGTAGATTTCCACATGGATTTCAGAATGATAGTCTATCTCGCCTTTCAGAAACTGGCTGTGATATCTTCATCCATGCTGCCTGCAGTTGGAATGATGCTGCCTGGATAAGTGAAACAGTTGAATTCCTTGAAATTGGCCCCGTCGGTATAGAAAATCGTCACTTGAATTTAACTGGTTGTTTATATATATACATAATTCGTACATCAGTTGCGTTTTTAACAATAATTCTATTCTGGTGGAATGAGCTGATTGTTCAGTTAAGCATGTTGACGTTATGTCACTCTTATCAGTTAAGAGCTTTGTTATTCGCGTTGAATATATATGCCTGACAAAAGCTCTGTAAAATATACTCAACACAACTAATTTTGCTAAAGCTACTTTTTCTGCATTATTTAGATTCAACGAAGGAAACAATTGAATGAGGTTGGTAATAATCTTCTTCTATATAGACAAAAGACATTTTGATAGGCATTCATCCACCCTCAGTATTACTATTAAACATTTTAATAATGTAATAATGATAGTAATAAGCGTTTCCGAAATTCTTGAATATGCAATTAATTATTTCTGCCAATTTGTTATTAACATCTGATCAAATGGGTATTCTGAGTTATGATGTGACAATCACATATAATTATTTTTTTCACTAAAGAAGTGTTGAATATGTCACCAAGCCTAAAAAGAAAACATCTAAGACCGAATGCTATAGCTCCGAAAACAACCGAATTCTTCTTTTATCGAAATCTACTAATCTTTACGATTCCACATTTACACGTGTACTGAAACGATATAAAGTAAGTTGAAGTTAAGGCAGAGCACCGTGGAATGAACTCATAAATAATTTTGTAATACAGTTTTGTTCAGCCGAAACCTAGAAGTCTAGGCGTTTATACTTCATAGTAAATGTCTATTTTTATTCCAAAGTTCAAGGAAAAGAAGCTTGATATCTCATTAAGCCAAAATAATTTTCTGCCTACTTTAACTTACTATTAGCGGAATCGCAGTTCGATTTATTTCTATTCTGATCCAATTCATTTTTGAGAAAATATACAAACTGCTGAGAAAAATAACTTTCAGAAACAATATTTGTATTTCTCGGGTATTACTAATAGTTTTAATGTCTGCTATATTTCATCAGTCAGTCGCTGCATAAAGGTCTACACGGTTCCCATAGTTCCACTTACTATTTCTTGTTTTCCAATTGCCTATGTCAGTTACCTTCTTATGTATATGTGATTATTTTATTTTCGTTGAGACGTAATAGTGATATAAATTGAATGAATATTACCTTCACACTGCTGTTTAATGTAACGAATCAGTATTTGAACTATTAAGCTGTTCCTGTTGTGCACTTTAAAATAAAACTTAATGTATATTTATTCTCTAATTTTTTTAGAAATTAGAAGCTGATAAATGATTGGTTTTTCAACTCTCATAACTTTATCTTTATTTGTATCTTGTTTAACCGAATAAATGTTTCATCTTACAAACATGGTTTTACTCAAGATCCCTGAATCCAGTCGTCGTCGTCGTCAAGTGAATGAACGCAGGATTCAGGGCTTAACGCAAGTATATTAGAATCATACGTTTGCATCTTATAATTCAAGCATCTTTTTTTTTTGATTTACAGCTTATTACACACTGTATTTGTACAAGTATGGAATTTTCAGCATGGATATCGGTAGCCAAATTTTGCAGGCCAACCATAGATATCAGATGTGCGCCGGCGTGGGCTCGAACCCGAGCATGTGCATGATCGGCGAGAGTCCTAACCACTGTGCACCGACGCACTTGGTAGTTCATCATGATCTTGGCTCAGGAGACCGATTTCTGAGTTCTACTACTGGTATGAAAACGTTCTCTGAGACACGTACAGTCATAAAACCCTCCATAGACAGCAAAAGACGATTATTCGTTGTTGAAATTTACGTAGAGCTCTACTAAACAATGGTAACTTCAAAGTTCAAAATTACATCCATAGTGCCATTGAACCGCTATGAATTCAGGGTTATTTTTCATGTGTAAAATGAAAACTTTGAGTCAAGTGGAATATTTCTAACAAGGTGGGAAGAAGAGTTCGTCCACAAGAATCACACATCAACAATTTCGCTGATATGTCAGAATGACTTTGACTCACCCAAACAAAATCGCCTCGTGAAACACACTATCACTGTACTTACAAAAAGAGGTACTGAAATCCGGGATTAAACAGGAACTGAGACAAATAATAAGGATCAAGTCAACGTGTGGTATGGAACTGTCAGGACAGCGATGAACAGTGTGGGAGAAAAACAAATAATAATAACGAAGTTAGTTGAAACATCCAAATGAGTATAAACATTTTAATTAGATCATTCAGGAGGGAATTTTTCAAATAATTCTTCCATTTTACTCGGTTCTTTATGAGTTCAGTCGGCTGAATCCTCCGACATTCGGTTCAGAAATTTTCAACTAATGCAAATAATACTGAACTTCAAAAAATGAGGAAGACTGTTACAAATATGCGATATGTAACACAATATAAAAATCCAAATAAGGAGACGAATCTTCACTTTCAGCCTTTGAAGTCCAGTGACTTTAAACTTAGTATTTGAAATCTCCCTTCGTCATAGATTGTTATGGACCTAAGGATATCTCAAAGCTCAAACAGATCAGTATAAAGAGAGTGGGTGAAATAGAGTATTTAGCTAAATCTTTGTTTTATAACCTGAGGCAGTAAACATCAATGTTGCCAGTGGTGTTCGCATTTAAAGCTGATTTCATCACAAGTGAATAACTGAACATATGTGACTGACTGATACGATCATCACTTCAATAACTAAGGGATTTAACTTTAGCTTTAAGATGCGATGTATCTATGGACATGCAGTGATGAAATGCTGCCAAGTTTAGCGAGTCAGATGTCACGTTCCTCATGGATTTTTGAATTTTTCAATCAACACTTCGATTTTAGGTCAAATCAGCCAACCCTTAAGAGACAGATTAGTGTTACATTTTTATGAAGATAATTCCAACCTGAATTGAGTTAAATTACATAAAAATACATATAATTTTGTTTGTCTGTCAAGTTTGATTAGAACAATTTTATTCGACCAAGTGCTCTGTGCTCAGGAAATAAGACTAATGAGAATTTCGTGATCATAATAACATCTTACTGAGAATCGATATCAAGTGTTGTTATGCAGGGATTTAATTAGTTACTGATTTGATCGCGAAATGACATCAGTTAGAGAACCACTGGAAAACCAAAGAGTACTAGTTTCTCAATGGTCCTCTAGCTGAGGTAAGAATCTAAATCTCTGAAGCATTACAATGAGACATGGGAAAGAAGAAACATAAAGGACCTATACTGAAAACTGTCAATTACATTGTAATGTCTATCTGTCTGGTACACAAAGAGAACGGAATACTAAATGAAAACGACATTTCTTGCTGCAAGACTGATTTCGATGTACCGCATAAAGTGCATATGAATTCAGTCTAACGTAGATATTTATCCTTCCGTTTCACCTCCAACTATGTTTGGTGACCCGTAAGCACTTGCGGTAGCCGGTTGATAGACAAGACTGAGAAAAAATAGGGTTTAGTAGGCTTTATGAGGTTATACCTACTTCTGAGATGTAACGCAGTATTTATGAAAGCAATCGGTGGGCGCCTTATCTGCATGCGTTATGCAGTCGTGATTACCCAAACTCTAAGTGACAACTTAACCACTTCGTTTCCTAATGGGCGCTGGTATCAGACAACTACAAATTAGTGTTCATATTTTGAACAACGATGTGTTAACTTTCTTCTTGTTTTTTCGCCGCATCATGAAATCTATGTGTTATTTTTATTTCTCTTTCTGAATTATATTCAAGCAACTCAACTCATTATCATTATCTTGAATTTTTTCTACTTGTTGGCATTCGCACAACCCATCTATTCAACGTTTTGTCTCTCAGAGAATAAAATATCATGTCAGGTATTGAGCATGTAAGTAAACGCTTAGTGATGTAAAGAATTAAAGTAACTCTCGTGAAAGCAAGGTACAAAATATGTAGTCTAGTATTTGTAAATATCAAAGCCGTTGAGAAGATAAAATTGCAAAGTTAATACACTACATCAGATTAACAATCACCAATTAATGCATTGTTTTTTAAACAAGTATGAAAACACTTCGACAGTAATCAACTAACCAGCAAAACTAAGCAAACAGCATATGTGAGGTCGCATATCAATTTACAGTGAAATTCATTGAAAACCAGGCGGAATAATTGAAGCGATGATTTGGAATGCAAATGATCATTTTACTCTGTACGTGATCCCATGTTTATTTTGTCTGAATCTCCCATCTAAAACAGCTGGTCACCCATAATATACTGAGCACTTCGAAGATTCTAGGCATTTAGAGTGACGTAAAAATAAGTTTATTGATTTTATTTAGTGGTATTTCGTCAATACCTTGTGTATTTATGTGTTTTTTAATAGCTGGGCAGTCATATCTTTCAATTCATTAAATGCAACGCTACTGCGTTACACTCACCTGTTTGTGCAAGTCCACCAGTCAGTTTAGTCTATTCAACATCTTCCTATGTAAAATGATCAGTTTTCAAGCTCACAGGAATCCTGAATATGGAAGTTTGTACTACATTATTGAGCATATAGGAGGCAGATGGTATAACACTGCAAATGGCTCGAGGAAAAAGTGATCACAGTTAATTGACATAAATAAATCTAGTCGCCTCAGTATGTTCATTTTCGGCAATTCATACTCTAGTTCCATCGCTGTTCTCTGAGGTTGGCTAGTTAGTGCTCTTATGTCAGTTATATGCAAACGAAACCGATATAGCTGAATTAGTAGAAGTACAGAAAGTTTTACAGAATTTACGCACATAAAAGATTCAAATGCTGTTTAAGAAATAGGATAGTGTTGCACATTAAAATAAAACAGAAGTTGTTATGTACAAGCAGACTAAATAAGAGGCACAGATATCAGATAATGAGCTCAATAATAGGAATCACAACTAAAAACCTACCATACTTACTGATAGTCATTTGAAACAAAAATTAGAAAACATGGTTCAGTTATAGAGTTTAAGTAGCAAGAATCTTAATAACACCAACTACTCAGAAGCTCACAGATTCATTAAACAACTTGAACCATTGCAAACATTTGGTTCCTTGATAAATTTCGATAGAAAAAGAAAGATCATATTGCAGTATGAAGTGACACTATCATTCTATTTCACAGGTTCTCATCAGCTGTAAACTACCTGAAATTACGGTGGTTATAAATAATAACACTCCATACTTAAATGTTTGAAAGAAAATAGAGAAAACATTATAAGGTGAACACATACGGAGTATAAGGACTGCAATTTTTAGTTTAAGTTACCATCAATTCATATACTATCAAACTATGAAAGAAAAAAGAGGGTGAGAGAAGACTGAAAACAGAAAAATCTAATAAATAGTGTTAGCTTGTTCGTCAACATGGCGACTCAAGAAGGTTAAAGTTCATGAAATTGAAAACGTGCTTAGTGAGCTGAGCTAACTAGTGTGTATGACTAATCATTGTAATGAAAGTGATACGGTTACTAAGGGAGTGAGAGATTGACTACACTCTCTTTCTGTGCGCATAAGTTTGGTCTGAGACGTTTGATTGCAATCGCTTCAGCAAATCGTATTAGATTCTCTGTCCTTTGTATGTTTAATATTTTGAAGAATTTGGAAATCTGGACAAAATGACCCGTATCGGCAAGGTGTTGGTAATTGCACTTTATAAATATATACTTCCTCTTAAGCATAAATTTCTTGAAATACACTCTGGAAACCAGATAGAAACCCCTCTTTCTCTGCTTTCAATTTACTTGCTGTCGCAGTTGCACGTAAATTTATAAATGCTGTTGGAGGTAACATCAGCAGGGTTCTTATCCAGTTTCGACTGGCTTTTAGAGCCTGTAGCACTGTATGGTGTCGCCAGCTTGCCTTCAGGGAAGCATCTCTTTATTGCTCCTTTCATCTTCTTTTCAACATTTTCGATAATGTTTCTTCTTCGTATGTGAGGCAAATAAACACTTTCTTCGTTTCAACTATTGGATAATTTTCTTTCTGATCTCTTTCTTTGCTGTACTTTAGAATAAATCCTTTTTGGATACCCACTTTCCTTCAGGCATTTTTCAACCAAGCTTAGTTCTTCTTCTACCTCGTTAGGTGAACATAACTTCCTGGCCCTATGGTTTTAGTGTGACAGTCAATGAAATGGCTGCAATTTTTGAATACTCTCTGAATGCAAATGTTCCTAACGAATAAAACATTATATTTAGGCTTAAACGTGCAATTTAACACATGGTGATGTGAACAATCAAAACAACTGTCCTGACAGGAAGGTAAGAACAAAATATGATGACAAAGAGTGTGTGTGTGTAAACCTCAAAACCGGGGATAAAATAAAATCTAGTTACATTATATGATAAAAC